TCTTTCCAAAGCTTGGCAGGGCTCCGCAGGGCGTGCCGGGACTTCGTAGGGCTCTGCAGAGCTTGCCAGGGCTTAGCAGGGCCAGAAGTCGAGGATCACGGCAAACAGAATAACGAAAGAAGCACGGAACATTGTAAAACAGCATTCGAAACAGGGAGGGCCGCCAGAATATCCCGGCCTCTCCTCCTGCTCCTCCTCCTTCTGCTCCTTATCCTCCTCGTCCTCCACGCGCTCCTCATCGTGGTCGTATGGTCGTCGCCGTCGTCGCCGTCGCCGTCGTCGCCGTCGTCGTCGTCGTCGTCGTCGTCGTCGTCGTCGTCGTCGTCGTCGTCGTTATCGTCGTCGTCGTCGCGTCGGATATCATTATCCTTCTTTTGCTGGGCGGGCTTGATAATGTTGGGTTTTCTCCAACGAATGATCAATCCAGTGTGGGCGACCCTACACGCGAGAGCATTTGCGAGCATTTTCTCATTCAGATTGCAGTAGGAATCAGCGGCTGTGGTTGTAGTCTTGATTGTAGTCGTGGTTGTAATCGTGATGGTAAACGTGATTGTAGTCGAGATTATAGTCGTAATCGTAGCCGTGGCCGTCGTCGTAATCGTAGTCGTGATCTTAGTCGTAGTCATAATTGTCGTCGTCGTCGCGACGGAGATTTTCCTCTATTTTGCTTGGCGGTTTGGATGATTTTTTTGGGTGCTCCTCCCCACGGAATAATCCACTGGGCGACCCTGAACGCGAGAGAATCTGTGAGCATCTTCTCACGATGACAGCAATAGGAATCGGTATTAGTGGTTGTAGTGGTGATGGTAGTCATGTCTCTAATCGTGATTGTAGTCGTGGTTGTAGTCGGTAATCGTAGTCGTGATTGTAGTTGTAATCGTAGTCGTAATCGCAGTCGCAATGGTAGTCGTAGCCGTAGTCGTAGTCGTAATCGTAATCGTAGTCGTAATCGTAGTCGTAGTCGTAGTCGTAGTCGTAGTCGTAGCCGTCGTTGTCGTCGTCGCCGCCGTTGTTGCGCGGCGGGTGCCTCAGAAAAATAAGCCGTTTCCGTTATCGCTGGAGCCCCAGTCCGTCCAGAAGGTCGCGGAAGAGATACCTAGTCTCTGACTAATTGGGGGCCCTAAGACCTGCTGAATTTACGTGCCCGCCCCGTGCGAGCTGCTTGGCTTGTCGCTCCACGATCGGGAGGCGCCGCGCCCCTGGCAGCAGCTTCTTCGAAGCTCCTCCGCGGACGTCCGGTCCGATCCGACCCGATGCTCCTCCTCCTCCTCCTCCTCCTCCTCCTCCTCCTCCTTCGTGTCCTCCTCCTCCTCCTTCGTGTCCTCCTCCCTCCTTCGTGTCCTCCTCCTCCTCCTCCTCCTCCTCCTCCTCCTCCTCCTCCTCCTTCGTGTCCTCCTCCTTCCTGCAGGGAGCCGAGGGCTGCCTGGCCACGCTGCAGATATGTGAGCAGGCAGGCCCGTGCGGCCAGGCCACCCGCGGGGGCGCGCAGGTGACCGCACTCCGCGCGCCGCGGCCCGGACCGGAGAGCTGCCCTCCTCCCGGGCGGCCTCGTCCGGCGGTGCGAGCAGAGGCGCGCGCCACGCACCGCGGAGCGCGGTGCGCGAAGTCCGGCGGCCCGGGCTCAGCCTCTGCGCTTGGGCTGCCTGGCCTCCGACTGGAAGAGGGCCCGTCGAGGCCACGGCGGCTCTCCCTCTCGGCCCGAGTCCGCTCAGGATCGGTTCCTGGAGCTCCCTGGGTGCACCTTGACCCGTGGTTCGAGGCGGATCCCGCCGTGGCGGCGAGAAGCGCCCGACCCCGAGCGAGTGTTGGACGGGTCAAGCCGATATTTACGATGAGTCAGCCCTTTTTCAAGTGCTCGAGCTTTCCCAGCGCAGCGCCGCTCTTCAGGAGCGCTTGAGTGGAACATGGCTGCGGTCACCTGCGGCATGTTGCTACCTGCATGTTCCTGCTCACGTGCCAGACTCCACGAAAACCCCAGGCAAACACCAGGCCCCCAACCTCCCAACCTTTGGTTGGCCCGCCAGCCAACGCCCGACCTGTGGGGCTCCGAGAGGTCGTTCCTGGTGTGCTGCAGCTTCCTCGAGATCTACAACGAGGCCATCTTCGACCTGTTGGTGCCGCGCGCGCGCCAGGCCAGGGCCGGGCTTGAGGTGAAGGAGCCCCGTGCGGGGGCCGCTGGCCACTGACGGGCCGGGCAGGCTTGTGTTTCTGGTCCATCGACCCCCAAGCGCCCATCGATCGCCGACAGAGGCCTGCTGGCCCACCCCGCCCAAGCTGTGCGGATTTGCTATCGGGGGCCTGTCGCCGGTCTATCGGCGATGAGTCGCCGATTGCAGGTCGATGTCTCCCCCCCGAGCCAGTCCCCCCCGTCGCCGCCCCTCAACTGACTGGTCGGGCAGGCTTGTGATCAGGAGTGCCTTAGTTCGGGGCCCCACATAGAAATGCTGATACCATGTGGTCGTCGTCCCCGTAGGGGCGAAGCGCGCGCTCCAGACTCTTCCTGTGGAAGCTCCCTGGCTGCCGCCTTCTGCCCACACAGCATGTGAAGTATTATCATGTGTGTGGGCGCTGCCTGTGATGCGTGCACCGGCTGGGGCTCGGGTGGTGCGCTGCTCTCTTCGGCTGGCGTGCGGACGTCTCCGCCTTGCCGACGGCTCATTGGGCGGCTACCCGGGTCCCAGTGGTCGCCCTGCCGCCGCCCTGGGGCTGGCGCCGGGCCACCACCGCCTTCCCGGTTTTGCCGTCGTGGCTTCTGCGCCCCCGCCGCTTGCAGCATCGCTTTGGTACTGGCCTCTGGTTGGGATCCTTTCCTCCAGCCCGCCCAGAGAAACTACAGCTGGCAGCATTCTGCCCACGCCCTGCAGCCCGCCCAGCACCTGTCCCGCCGCACCTTGCCGCCTCGGACGCCGCTATCTGCTCTGCTGCACCAGGACATCGATGCCTGGGCTCGGCATTTCTCTTATTGTACTCCAGATTTCGTAATAAAAGGGAGGGGGTCTGGACCCTCCAAGACAAGCCATTTCAGACCTCCCCCGTGGGATAACCCTCCAAAACATCGTCCCCAGACCCCCCAGGCCCTCCAAGACAGCCTGGAAGAGACCCCCCCCGAAATGAGACCCCCCTCGCTTTATTACGAAATCTGGAGTACTTCCTCTTCGCGGAGGAGGAGGAGGAGGAGGAGGAGGCTTTATTACGAAATCTGGAGTACTTCCTCTTCGCGGAGGAGGAGGAGGAGGAGGAGGAGGAGGAGGAGGAGGGAGGAGGAGGGAGTGAGGATGGAGGAGAGAGGGGAGGAGGAGGAGGAGGATGAGGAGGAGGAGGAGGAGGAGGAGGAGGAGGAGGGAGGAGGACGGGGAGGAGGAGGAGAGGAGGAGGAGGAGGAGGAGGAGGAGGGGAGGAGGAGGAAGGAGGAGGAGGAGGAGGGAGGAGGGGAGGAGGTAGGAGGAGGGAGGAGGAGGAGGAGGAGGAGGAGGAGGAGGGGAGGAGGAGGAGGAGGAGGATGGAGGACGGAGGAGCAGGAGGAGGAGGAGGAGTCGGAGGAGGAGGGAGGGAGCGGAGGAGGAGGAGGAGGTGGAGGAGGAGGAGGGGGAGGTGGAAGGAGGAGCGAGGAGGAAGGAGGGGGGGAGGAGGAGGAGGAAGGAGGAGGAGGAGGAGGAGGAGGAGGAGGAGGAGGAGGAAGGAGGAGGGGAGGAGGAGGAAGTAGGAGGAGGGAGATGAGGGGGAGGAGGTGGAGGAGGAGGAGGTGGAGGAGAGGAGGAGGAGGGAGGGGGAGGGGGGAGGAGGAAGGGAGGGAGGCATTTTCTCATTTTGACTTCCTCTTCGCGCACTTTGCAAAAGCCCTCTTCTTGCTCAGCCCCTGGGTGTGGCTCTGGCGACGCCCTGCCCCCGCGGTGGCCCGGGCCAGTGGCGATGGGCTGCCACCGGCGGGCCGCCCGGGCCGCTCCGCAGGCTCGGACACGCCAGTGTCGGCAGCTCTCTCCCTTCCTCCTCCTCCTCCTTCCTCCCTCCTTCCGCCTCTCCTCACTCGTCCTCTCCTCTCCTCATCTTCTTCCTAGCTCCTCCTGTCTCTCCTCTCCTCCTCCTCCTCTCCTGCTCCTCCGCGCCTCCTCTCGCCTCTCCGCCTCCTCCTCCTCCTCCTCCTCCTCCTCCGCCTCCTCCTCCTCCTCCTCCTCCTCCTCCTCCTCCTCGCCGCTTCCCCTTTTTTGTCGTTCTTGCTGCCGGTGAATTCGCGATGCCGTCACCCGGCTTGCCCGAGCGCGCGTGCGGACTGCCTCTGCCGCGCTGCGGCGTAAAAACGGTGGGCGCTGCACGCGTTCAGATCCGGCGTGCGGCTCCGACAGGAACACATGGTGCTAGTACATCATTCTGCGTCTCATTGGCTGCGGATGCCCCCTGCACCAGGTGGCCATCCCGACCATTGCGGCTGTCTGTCTTGCCATGCCGTGCAGCATCAAGCGGAAGTTGCTGCATCGTTTTGCCGACTGCTCCAACCGTCCTGTTCTCCGAGGGCCAGCGCGCTCCCGCGCGCCCGTCGCCCGCTAATGGGCCGCCTCCGGGCGACGACGGCCTTCGTTCGTTCGTCTGGTGGTCGTGGATGTGCGCAGCTCGGCCCTGCTGCTATCGGGGATCATCGCGATGCCACCACCATGGCGCACGAGAGCGCTGGTGCTCCTGGTTTCTCTGCCGACGCCGCTGTCGCCCTTGCTATAGTGGGCGCACGCGACAAGAAATCGTGCTATAGGAAGTCTTTGGGCACGTCTTCGTCGATCCTTGGGGGTCCTGGGATGCCCCAGACCGTCTGTGTGTCCTTGGGGCCATCGGGGTATGAGAAACTTTCGTGGGGCACCTGCTGACAGGTCGAACTCTTCTTTGATGTGCCCAGTGTATGGCTGCCGATGCCGCTGCCGCTGCCGCAGCTCTGTGCAGCAGGTGTTGGCATCTCTGGGCATGCTGCTGCTCCGTGACGCCTGCCGCGGCCGGCTTCTGGGGGAGCTCAGCAGGAGCAGCGCGGCATCGGAGTGTACGTCAAGGACCTCACTGAGGTGGTGGTCGAGCCTACCGCTCAGAGCCTCACGCGGGGGAAGGAGGACGGCAAGGACGGGGAGGAGGAGACGGAGGAGGGTGGAAGTTTGAGGTTCGAGAGGTTTTCGGGGATGCCTTCTGGCAGCTGCGCCTCGCCGAGGGTCTTCCCAGGGTGCCCAGATCGTCCCGAACGGTCGCAGGAGAGCCGATGTACGACCCGAAAACCAGGGGGCAAAGTTAGCGGGAGGAGGAGGAGGAGGATGAGGAGGATAAGGAGGAGGAGGAGGAGGAGGAGGAGGAGGAGGAGGAGGAGGAGGAGGAGGAGGAGGAGGAGGAGGAGGAGGAGGTGGAGGAGGAGGAGGAGGTGGAGGAGGGGAGGAGGAGGAGGGAGGGAGGGAGGGAGGGAGGGAGGGAGGGAGGGAGTGTTGGAGGGAGGGACGGAGGGAGGGAGGGAGGGAGGGAGGGAGGGAGGAGGAGGAGGAGGGGGAGGAGGACCAGTGTAAACCCAAGAGCCATCAACGATGTTGGAATCAACCGTCCTTCCAATCTCCCTCTTCGTAGGCCCCTACAGCGGTTCATTTCCACTGAGGGAACTAATTGCCTCGTTGGAAGACAACCCTTTGAAGACCTTGAAGCATGCCAAAACATAGTTCTCGGGATTCCAACGCCACGGATTGTTGCGTCTTGACGATCCTGCATCGTGCCAGAACGCCTTTCCTGGGATTTCAACACTGCGAATCAACGACACCGTTGCACCCTTATAATCCTGAGTCCTTCCCAAACACAAGTTCTGGTACGTTGATCATGGGAATCCGTGAAGCTCCTGCAAACTTTTAAACGAATGTGCGCGGCGCTAGGGCGAGAGCGTCCCGTGATCTTCCAGGCCCGGGCGACCGCGGAGACGCGAGCGTCCGTGATCTTCCAGACCCGGGCGGTCCAGAGCGCTCTGGGGCGGCCGCGGGGACTCTCGGTTTACGGTCGGGAATTTTGGCTTCGCGAATCGCTCCGCCGGCTCTGGCCCACCACGCTTCGGCCCGACACGCTGTCCACTCCAAGCGCCGGTGTCCCGGGCCTTTCCCCCGGCCTCCCGCCCCGCGGAGCCGAGCGGCACGCTATCACCAAGCATGGCGTAGCGTGTCGCCAGGGCCGTTACCACGGAAGGAAGGAGGGCGGACGAGGAAGGAGGGAGGAAGGAGCAGGAAGAGGTAGCACGAGACAAGACGAAGGCGGGATGAGGATACGCTTTGGTGAGGATGCGGTCGGGAACTTTGGCTCAGCGTGTCGCGGCGGCGGCCCTGGGAACGTGCGATTCCATGCTTGGTGATAGCGTGTCGCTCCGCTCCGCGGGGCGGGAGGTCGGGGGAAAGGCCCGGGACATCGGCGCTTGGACATGGGGACGTGGACAGCGTGTCGGGCCGAAGCGTGGTGGGCCAGAGCCGGCGGAGCGATTCGCGAAGCCCGAAGCCAAAGTCCCCGACCGGAAACCAGGACACCTGGCGCGCGCGAGAAAACTGGAGCCGTGGGTCCGCCCTCCTTCCTACTCCTCCTCCTCCTCCCTCCTCCCCTCCTCCTCTCCTCCTCCTACTCCTCCTCCTCCTCCTCCTCTCCTCTCCTCCTCCTCTCCTTCTCCTCACTCCTCCTCCTCCTCCTCCTCCCTCCTCCTCCCTCCTCTCTCCCTCCTCTCCTCCTCTCCTCTCTCTCCTCCTCCTCCTCCTCCTCCTCCTCTCCTCCTCTTATTCCTCTCCCTCCCCCTTCTCTCCCCTCCCCCCCCTCCTCCTTCTCCTCCTCCTCCTCCTCGTTCGCTCCAGCTGGAGTTTTCGAAGACCCGGCTTGCAGTGTCCTGGTTTCAGGGGCCCTGACCTCTGTGCATCGCCCTCGTCCCGTCCTGCTCCTCGGCCCGTCCTGCCAGCGTTCCGCGTATTGTTTTCCTTACGTGCAGTATTGATTTCCTTACATGCAGTGGGGGCGCGTACCAAGAAATCAAATGGATCGCTCCAGAGAGGGGCCTTACCTTCGATGATCGAAGGAGTTGGCATCTCTTCCTCGGCGCAAGGCGTCGAGAGCCCGGCGGAAGCCAGCGGAAGTAAAACGAGGGGGGCTCCGCCGGCGGTAGCCGAGGGATGGATGGCAGAAGCCAGCGAAAGTAGAGTTTGCGTCCTAAGGAATGGTCAGTTTTTTGGTTCAAGGTTTCCAGGGTCGGCCATCTGCTGTTCCTCAGGGTACCGTGGTTTACTTCGCTTCGCGCGCTGCGCGGTGACTTCTCGCGGGCGTTGACAATCTGCTGCGTTCAGGGTGGCTCGGGTTTCCCGCCAACTGTGCGTATGCCTCTCGCGCGGAGTTGCAGGGCCGGGTCTTCTGCGAGGGTTTCATGCGGCCACGTCCGCACGGTAGGGTAGGCTTATCAAAGAGGAGGCTTGCCTGCTGGTAGGCGCCCCATCGAGTTTGTTTAGAGCAGTAGGCCCACAGAAGCCTTGGGGCACCTTCACAGGCGATCTCTCGTCGTGAAAAAGTAGGCGCCCTCAATTACATGGCCCCAGGGCCATCAAGCAAAGGGTCAGGAGGAAACGCTTGTGCTTGGAAGAAATTGTTTAGAACTCTGGGTGGCCGCGTTGTGAAGACATAAGACGGTGGATGTAAGGGTTGGGAAGATTCAAACTGGGCAACGAAGGTTGCCCATAGTCCCTATAGCCAGATTTCTTGTCGTATGTACTTAATGTTCTCTTTTATCTTTCCCCTCATACTTCCTATGCGCTTGAACCCTGTTCTAAGTGGCAGCTTCCATGGAATTCGTTTCCTGCTACTGTAAGCGTGCTGGTCCAAGGCCGTGGTGCGGGCTTTGTGAATTCAAACGTGAATGCGCAGCCCTTGCAAATGTGGGACGTTACGTTCCATATTTGCAAGGGCTTCGTCACACACACACACAACCTGGGGAGGCGGGCGTCGCTTGCCACCCGATGCAGCGACACGGAGGAAGGATGTTGCTGCGTGCTTAGCGCGAGATTGTGGCTTCCATCAGTTGCTTCTTCATGTTCTTTGACGGGCTTCTTCCTCACAGCGCACTAGCATTCGTGGATTCATGACCGCATGTCACAGCGCGCCATCGCCGTCGTCACCATCATCGTTGTCTTCATCAGTGATTGCGGCCTGACAGCTGAGGTCTCCCGACAGACTGGCTGAGAGCATAGACCGTGGCTTCGAGAACAGGGCCACCGCGGCTACCAAGATGAACGAGGCTCCGCCTTGCGCACTCAGTGTCTCAGACTCCCAGCTTCTGCTTCTTCAGTGCCAGAGAACGGGGGTAGACACGCGGAGGCTGAGTACGAGAGCCAGGTGCTGTCCATCTGTCTGAATATAACCTTTACTTGTTGTCATTTTATTTTGCCCTTACTCCCGACACATCTGCCATGGGAGCAGCGCCCCTGCCACTCATGTCTATGGGTCGCGGGTCTGGTCAGCGTGGAGGAAGGGGGTGGCAAGCATCAAGGGAACAACACAGACGGAAGCGTTGTTTTCTGGGACAGCCAGCGTGCCTCTGGGCCTTCCATTCCGCGCTCCGCCAGCATTAGCACCGTTTCGAAATAACTTTCGGCGGACTCGATGCGGGCAGAGCAAACGATCCCGAGCAACCTCTGGGGAAACACCTCCAGGTAAGGATACGTCTCGGTCGCTCCAAAGCTCGCCTCCTTGGAGGTCGGAGATTGGTGTGTGGGCAAGTTGATCGAACCCGCCTCTTACGGTTCCGTCGAGTCTGGGTCTTGGGCCGCGCACGACTGCTCCGATGATGAGCAAGCCCCACTTCCCTCTAAATCCGACGTTTTTTTGTTGGGTTTGTTGGCTTGTTTTTTGTTGTGGACCTCAGGAGCGCTCAACCTTTCGACTGCTTCCCTGTCTTTGTGTTTTCTCCTCTTCCCCCTCTCGTTTCCCGACTTCTCAGCTGCACGCTTGGAGTATACCCCTGCAAGTCAGATTTCTGAAGCACCGGCGGGGGTCCAGAATCTCAAGGATGTCTGCAGTCACGCGGACCCCCCTGCGGGAGTGCCCCGTAACTTCAGCGCCGACTGGACCTGCTTGGTGCTGTCGCGATGAGGCACAGCGTCCGGGACCCTCAACCGCTTCTCTGGGACTGCTTCAGCATCACCTGGCCGATCCCACTCTCGACTGGGCCACGGTATCTCAGCCCCACCAGGCCCACTTCCCGGTGGGGATAGGCCCCGCGAAGCCCGAGGGGAGCAGCATCCCTCCCCACCGAGCGGGGGCAGATTGGCCAGTGTGGCCAAGATATCCTGCCAGTGGGGATGTGTATTGGTCAGGCGATGCCCAAGCTTCTCACCCCGATTCGTTTCTGAAGGCCCTCGGGCCCGAAACGGGATCCCTGGGGCCGCCGGGTGAGGAGGAGACACGCACCGGCACGGAGCGCCTCGCGCTTTCGCAGAGAGTAGACCAGAACAAACTGGGAGGACGAGAGGGGGTGCGGGTCTGTCTCGTGCCGGGGCTCGTCCTCGGCAGCGGCCGGAATGGCAGCCTCCGCAGCTGCACCAGGCCTCGTCGCGCTCGCACTGCGTCTTCACCGTGAAGCTCCACCAGAAGGACGCCGAGGCGCCCCGGCCATGCGCGCGGTTGCCTCGGCTTCGTTGCTTAGTTTTTTTTGCTCGTTTTGCTCCCAACCATCCTGTGGTGTTGGGCCCTCGTTTTGAAGAGACAGCGACCCGCGGTCACTCCCCCTCCCGCTGCCCCTTTTCGCATCCCCCTCCTCCCTCCTCCCCTCCCTGCCTCTGCTCTCCGCATGCCCATCCCCCTTCGGCACACCCGTCACACGTTTCGTGGCCCCATGGGGAGCTCCACCGAAAGCTCCAGTGGGAAAGTTCGCATGGCACCGCCGCTCCATTTCGGCACACCCCTCACACGTTTTGTGGTCCCATAGGGAGCTCCACCGAAGGCCCCAATGGGAAAGTTCGCATGGCACCGCCGCCCCATTTTGGCACACCCCTCACGCGTTTCGTGGTCCCATAGGGGGCTCCACAGAAGCCCAAGTGGAAAAGTTCGCATGGCACCGCCGCCCCATTTCGGCACACCGCTCACACGTTTCGTGGTCCCATAGGGAGCTGCACCTAGGGCCCCAGCAGAAAAGTTCGCATGGCACCGCCGCCCCATTTCGGCACACCGCTCACACGTTTCGTGGCCCCATAGGGAGCCCCACCTAAGGCCCCAGTGGAAAAGTTCGCACGGCAACGCCGCCCCATGTCGGCACACCCCTCACACGTTTCGTGGCCCAATAGGGAGCTCCGCCGAAGGCCCCAGTGGGAAAGTTCGCATGGCACCGCCGCCCCATTTCGGCACACCCCTCACACGTTTTGTGGTCCCATAGGGAGTGCCACCTAAGGCCCCAGTGGGAAAGTTCGCATGGCACCGCCGCCCCATTTCGGCACGCCCCTCACACGTTGTTTCGTGGTCTCATGGCACCGCCGCTCGATTTCGGCACACCGCTCACACGTTTCGTGGTCCCATAGGGAGCTGCACCTAAGGCCCCAGCGGGAAAGTTCGCATGGCACCGCCGCCCAATTTCGGCACGCCCCTCACATGCCTCCTGGCCCCATAGGGAGCTCCACGGAAGGCGACGTTCGGATACGTCCTCCCGACTCATGTCGGCACACCCTTCACACATTTCGTGGCAGAAGGCTATACCGCGTGCGCTGCTCGGAGTTTGCGCGCCCCCCTCCTTCGTTTCATTTCCCTCGCGGTACTCGTAGCTGCATATGGTTGGGTTCTTCGCCAGGCTAACCTGTGACGTTTTTTTGCTGTTATATTGTTTTCCTTGTTGCCTTCGTTTTGTTGTTTTGGTCAGCGGGGCGAGCGCAAACAGGTCGACCAACAAGAGAGGAAACAGAAAGAGGGCCAGTGCTTTCTCGCAGGCCCAGGGATTGACACCAACACCAAGATCGGCGGTGTGCCTCCACCGAGGGAAGAAGATCAAGATCTCGGTGATGGTGGTAATATTATTGCTTCCAAGGTGACCGAAATATTACCACCAACACCGAAATCCAGGATCATCTTCCCCCTGTAGAGGCAACCCCCTGCGTTGGTGTTGGTGCCCATTTCCAAGCCTCTAACTTTCGGGCAGGCTTCTGGGGAACTCTGGGGACCTCCGTCTGGACGGCTGGGGACCCCTTGGCGATGCGAGGAATATCGCGCCGGAGAGTCTCGACATTCTCGGCGTCCGAGGGGGCCGCCACGTCCGGGCAGTGGGGACAGCCAGAGCGCCAGTCAGGACGACAAGCCAGGCCCGTGGCAGGGGTAATGAAGCAGCCATGATGCGCCAATTCCCCGCGGAAGGCTCCACGGGGTCCCAAGATGTCGCCCAGAAGGCTCCACGATGCCCTCGAAAGGCCCTCAAGAGGCTGCGCCACCAGACGCCGCCCAAAGACTGCAGGGTGAAATCAAGGTGTTTCAAGAGATCAGCTCTCATAACCCCCCTATACGACCCGATCTATCAACGAATGTGCACACAACGCTCTTCCATCAACTGCAGAAGGGCGGGCTAGGTGCATGCCAGCCTTATCTTCGGTCAAGTTGAGCGGAGCTATATTGAGCCATACGGTTTTCTGGTGTGCCCATGGGCTTCAGCTTAGCCATGCTATGCCAATCTAGGCGGAGCTAAGCTGGACCACCGCGCCCTGGCCTGGTCACAATCCGCGGCCTCGCGAGGTTGCGAAGAGAGTCGCCCGTCGCGCATTGCGGGGCGCGGTGCGCGAAGCTAGGATCTATGACTGTTTGGTGGCCGCGTACCCGTCATGTAGTTGTTTTTCCAAATCAAGCCAGCGCTGGCAGCGCGCAAGAGGAGGCATGGCGCAAGGTGATTGGGGCGGTTGGGTAGCATGAAGTCTAACCAGACCGAGAAGAAGGGGGTTCCACATGGTTAGTTTAAGGGTTCTCGAACAACGAAAAACAGTGTGAGCATGCTCTTTCGGAGGTCCGCGCATATTTCTTGGGTCGGCGCCAGCCCCCCCCTGGCCGCCCTTGGCGCGCTCTGCGTGCCAGTGGGAGGTGGCCCAGCGCCGTCCTAAGAAATGCTTACTGTTTTATGCCAGTGCTTGTGCATCTTTGCGGGATTCCTCCAGATTGCTCCCCGTCGAACCCCCTGACCAAGCCCGGGCCGCCCCAGCCTCCTTGGTCTAATTATGGTCCCCCTCCCTCCTAGGGGGGGCGCCCTTTCATGAAGGCAGGGGGGGACGTGCTCGAGTCCCAGACGCCCTGCCGCCCTCGAGAGACCGTCTCAAAAGCCTCCGAGCCGCCTCTCTAGGAAGCTCCCTGCCTTCGTAGCAGGCGGCCCATTCGCCCCACACCCCACCGAAATTCGTTCGAAACAGGCCCCCAGGTCAGACTACTCTGAGGATCGTCCAGGCCAGTTTTCCAAGCCGCGTCACGCTGTGGGGACGAGAACCTCCAGAAACGCCAGACATCTCCAAAACGGCTGCGTCGGCGTCATTTTCCGAATCCAACCTCACGCCGACCTGACTCAGGTGAGGTCGTGATCGGCGAGCGACGTTCTGTTCAGACTTCCGCTGAGCTGATCCCCCCCAAATTCAGGTGGTAGGGAGGACGTGGTATGGATAAAAACGCTACTGTCCACATGCTTGATGTTTTACCCATGGCATATCGGAGGGGCGTGGCAGTGGCAAGTTCGCGCCGACCTGACTGGCCCCGCAAATTTCCCCGGCAGTCCGACCTTGCCCCCACGGCCAGCCGTTCATCCCGAGCCGTTTTCTGACGGCCCCGGGGCACGGCGAGGACCCCCCAGTTGCTGACAGCCGCCGACAACCTCCCGCCTTGATTTTTTCAAGACGTTGGCTGGCTGGCCGATTGACCCGCTCTGCGAACTCTGCGCCCGAAGAATCGCAATCTTCGGCCACGCGCAGAACGGGGTACGGGGGAAGGTTTCTTGGAGGCAGCCTCCTTCCAAGAAGCCTTTCCCCTTCCCCCTCGCCCCTCCTGTGCGCGCCACCAGAATCTCTTGCGGCGGCGGCTTCTTCTTCGAGGGGCCCTGGCACACACAAGTAAATACACAAATCCCAGGATCCCCCATATTTCTCCATACCTTCTGCATCTTCGTCTCCCCGCCCCACTGCACATATTTTCCTATCTATTTTCTGGGGAGTCGACGATGAATCGCGTCTGTGTGCTTTTTTCCCCTCCTGGCCTCCGCCTGCCCGCTTCCCTGGGCTTAAGTCGGGCCTGTCCCTCTACAGGGGGAATATTCAAAAATAGTAAACCCTCTACAGGGGGAATATTCAAAAATAGTAACAAAATAGTTTTGGGACAATTTTCTGTTTTTTTTGACCAGTTTGGAATCTTTGTTGGGTCTTTTTTTATGTTTCGTCGAGTATCCCCCTGTAGGGGGACACGCCCGACTTAACCCTGGGCCCTTCCGCCGGGCGTGGCCGCCCTCGCGCTCGCTCTGCTGCCCT